TTACTTCTAGGGCGACGACTTCGGACAGCTCTTCCAGACTTCAACGAAGCTCCAAGACAGTGGGTAAAGAAGCATGAATAGTACCGACCCCCAAGACATAGTCTTGGTCCATTACAAAGAGGCCAAGTTGTCAGGATACGAGGAGACTCGTGGGCACAGAAAGCAAAGGTTCTGAGTGCGACTGATCAACCTAAGCAGCGCCTCCTCTATTTTTCAGTGCCTAGGCGAACGCTCTCTTCAGGCCGCAGAGTGCGCGCTTCGACTCCGCTCGCCGCTGTCGCATTATGACGCTGCGCGAGTAGACTACGGGATGCTGGCGCTCACCGGCTGCGCGTATTAGGAAGCTTGCGAATTTGTGTTTTCATGCAATTTAATATGCAGTCGTGCTTCTTGATGGCTTTCATGGATGCAGGGAAGATGAAAAGTAACACGAACATAGCGGCGCGCTGTTTTGACCTGGCTCTGTCAAGCCGTGCTACCGGTTTGATATATGCAAACGAGTTTTAAAGCATTCACGTTTTATTTTCTTTTTCAAGTTATTGCAACCTCATTATTCGCATGCCTCAGTGTATATTACTGCTGTGTATCACTCAGCATATCTGATCAAACAAAAGTTGATGAGAGTCAGCATTCAACTTTAAACTTTAACGGCGCCTGTTCAAAACATAGGCAATGATTGCAGAAATTGCACCGCATATGGAGCTGTTCTTGTTTATTTTAAGATGATTTTATTGTTTAAACTTTCTAATGGTGAAATCACCTGCCATAGTTCCTCACTTTCTGACATTAGCTTTTTCTCGGTGGCAACACATGTAATGCTTTGCAAAGGAAATGGCTGATGACCTATATCCCTGGAAGCAGTATTGAGGCATTTTGTGCTATTGAGTGCATGAGCTCTACAGGCTTGTGCATAGTGTGCTACGCCACTAGAGAGTAGCAAGCATCGAGGAACTTTAGGCACCCAAGCTTTCAATATTAGGTCCTGGCAAAGGCTTCTCTCAAAAATCAACTTTCAGTAAGTCAAAAAAGCAACTCTCAGTCAAGCGAACACCACGGTGACAAAACGATTTTTTGTGGATTACTGGCATCAGTTATCTGGTATCGGCCTAGCAAACGATGCGTGAGCCCCTCGATCAAGTAGTGCTGAACGACACATGCCTTCGAAATGAGCTAGGTGTTCAGAACAACAAGTGCTTCACGATTCTCGTTTCCAAGTTTCCATTGCATTAAGCTTAAACAATGTGAATACAGCCAAAAACCGAGCCGTATAGCAATGCAGTCCGAATACAGCAACAGCATTCGTTTGCGCGAGAGGAGACCGCGGCGGCATCTCTACTCCAGTTGCGGTGCCTGGCGGCGAAATATCACACTAGCACCGACGGCCGCTTCCTATTGAAATTCGCTTGTTCACCCAGGCATTGAAAAAATAGAGGGGGCGCTGACCCAGGTTGTACCAGGTCGCCACCAAAGACGGCAGTGTATTACGCCACAACTGCCAACACCCAAGGGTTATGGCTGAACCTTTCAGCATTTCGCCTAGTGTTGACGACGTCCCCAATGACTTGCACGAGGACGTGTGCACTGACTCGGTCATATCTAACGATGAAAGCGCACCCGACGCTGCACCATCGATGTGAGAACCAAGAAAAACAGAGCGCGAAAGAAGGCAACCACAGCGGTTGAGATATGTCGGCTACTTCGTGCAAGTTCTGTGAACTCAAACCCTTCGGAAGTGAATAGATGTGTTATTTTGAAGAGACTGGCTTCTCGTCAAAACATTACACTGATTTCATTTCATTCCAAGAGAAAAGGATGTATCGGGTAGATAAGCTGAAGTGATGCGCGTCTGCAAGCAGCATCGTCGGCGCTTGCTCACCACTTGTGTGCCTTTTCCCCTACGGGTATTAAATGTGTGCAAAATAAAGGCTGGGTGCTTTTGCTGTCTGCTGAGAACTGGTCACTGTTGTGACACAGTTGGCACAGCAACTGATATAACTGCCCCTGATTTTTACTATGTACCAGCCTCAGATACGATAACACGGAAGAGCATGCCATCCTTTTGCATCATAGCACTGAAAACATCAAGAATGAGCTTATTGCAGCCTTCTATCAGCTTTACTAGATTGGAAAGCTTGAGATCATTGCAGAGCTTCTTAGCTTTCTTTCTGACAAAAATCAAGGCAATATCTGAGCGGCAGTCAAATAGACGGTTAATAGCTTCAAAAGCATTCCGAAGAAATATGCTCTTTGGAAGAACGGCAAACCTGCCCTCTTTATCTGCAGGCACTAGACACAGCTCGTGCTGTCTAAGAATGACACAATGAGCTTGTCCCGTCTCCTTCGCTCGTCTTATGTACGTGTATTTAGCGCTTACACAAGTTATGAACTGTGGAATGCCTGTCCGCCTCTACAGAAGCCAGTATTGGCATGTAAACCAAGTGATTTCAGGACGCAATTCCAGACTGGAAGCAAAGAAGTTGGATGGGTATTTGTATAGGTACAAGTGGTCTTCCAGAACCCTCACCAATTTGGCCGATCGCGTAGCGATTAATCTTACTTCCATTCCGATTACATGCGCAGCACGTGTAGGAGTGTTGTCTATGCTGTATAACCTACACAAGTTCAAGTGCATACCTTGCAAAAAATGATGAGTCATGCACCTGGCCATGGTCATGAATAATCAGCTCACACGTGTTGCCCAATATAAGACTTTGACACCTGTGCTCACAGCTCGTGCTTTGCGACACATATGCATTACTTGCAGCAAGTTTACCCAAACTATGTTTTATCTACAGTTTTACCCACCCTAATGGGCTAGTTGGTATGCGGCTCGACTGTTGACTGAAAATCATGGAATCCCAAGGGGACATGGCCATTGGCCGAGGGTTGGCTAAGGGTCGGCAAACCAGTCGGTGGCCAGTTTAGTCGGCGAGACTACCAAAAAAAGTGGCCAGTCTGTGACTAGCCATTGACCAGGTCGGCAGTAGGTCAATCAATGTGCTTGCCTCGAGGTCGCCAGTTTACATTGGGCCGACCTCTTTTTTAGATCAGTGACAAATGCAAGCACGGGTGATCACGCTTGTCAATTTACCCATCGTATAAGCAGAAATGCATGTCTATACGGCATTTTTTTAAATATGGACAGTGACATCACTTTAATTTGGGCATAGTTGCAGTGTATGTGCATACACTGCAAAGTGTAATATTCAGTCTAAAGTGCAATATTCTAGCTAAAAATTTATTCTTACATCAATTTCAAGAAAGCGTACCAAGGAAAGGTAAGATAATTGTGCCACACCTATAAATTAAATTTTTTTCGCATTTTAAAATGCGCTACTAGGGCCTAGAAGAAGATACACATCTGTGGGATAGTAGTGGCAGCTGCAACCACTTGGACGGCTGATTTGACAGGAAACAGCAGAGCAGCTATAGCGTGCGAACAGCATGGTTCCAAATTCGGTGAGTATTTATGCCCCACTTCTTCGTAAAATTAACATTAAGACGACAAAGAAAGCGCAATGTCATGTCCTTTGAACGGTGTTAAACATCCGTGACCCCCTAAGAAGCTCTCTTGCCTGCCCTTATACGCACTCCCGTGCAGCGATCGTGTCAGGTTTAGAGATGTATGGCTTCAAGAATGAAGTGTAGCAAAAATCTTTGTTAACAAGAAAGGGTACAATATTCTGGCCATGCTTTCTTTCCTTGGTCGTATAACACTCTGACTGAATACAAAACCGCATTCGATTGAACCGCAGTTTGATTACAGACACCTTGACATCAACCTCGCGGGGTGCTCTCAAGAAAAGCACAGTATTTGCGTCGCAGTGTCCGAGTACATTGCTACACTATTCAAGCAATAGCATGTCATGGTTCGCGAAACTTGTACAACTGCACGCAAAGCCAAATTTGGACACTACCTCTAAATAAGTGGTCACTGCTTTTTTGCATGCTATAAGCTGTTTCCATCTTTTTGGGCTGAAAATATTGTTACATCTACTGTATCAGTGATTTGAGACTTCTGTTGCTTATAGCTTGTAGAGCATAATGCTTGGGTTAGATTCCTGCTGGGACCCCGATATTTATTCACTGCATTTGATAAGTGACCGCTGCTAATGCCATTTTTTTAATGCTGTCACATTTTGTTACCTATGTCTGTTCTCATCATTTCTGGGTAGACACACTGTCAATCACCAGTACACACACGCCCGTATACCCCCTCATACCCAAATGCCCACAGCCGCAGTATGGGGGTATGCGCCACACGTGTCTGGAGAAAAGGGTTTGATATGTACGTGACAGAATGTTCACTTAGTTCATGCCCTAACCAAACCGTCATATTCTTCGAACCCTTCTACCCTCTTCTTCTCTCAGTAGGTACACAGAGGTCTCCCCTCTGTGTCCTGACTGTGGGGCGGTTAGCGACCTTAAGCACATGCTCTGGGCATGCCCCTCCTTGCAGCACCACACAATCCACGGTTTGACAGAGGAAGCCTTCTCTGCTTTTCTCACGAGCCACGACTGGCTTGACCAACTCCGGGCTGTCCAGAAAGCCCACGATGCGGCGGTGAGGCTTGACCTCCCTGTCCCAACGTGGGAGCAGCCTGTAGTGTTGCCCCTATAAAAACGGGGTGAAGATTCTTCCAGACCCGAATAAAGTTAACTATCTATCTATTCTACCCTCTTAGACTAGTTTTGGTCCACACCAAGTTAGAAGGTGAACCCAAGCGCACTCCCAGACGTAGGCGGATGGATGGAGTGAATAGAATGGAATGAAATAGAGAAGACGGACAGACAGACAGACGGACGGACGGACGGACAGACAGACAGACACCGCATATCCCGTACTGCTGAGTGCAGCAGTACGGGATATGCGAAAGTAGCCTTTCTGCAGTGGACAGCAATGGCCCTAGTAAGTCACAACAGACCTTACTTTACTCCCTAACCTCATCATGAATCACAAGTGAGACACAATGCGCACTATTACAGCCAAAGCCTCTCACCTTCCTCAGCAGCATCAGCATGTTCTCCGAGTGACAGGCACGGGCACTCCTGTGCAGTGCTGTTTGCTGCAATGAAATTCAGACGTGTAGACAAGGCTTTAGGAATAACAATGCTCTGGCAAACATATTGATTATTACGGTGCCATCGAGACTATCACTACCAAGATCATCAATTCTTAGATTGTAAAGTCTTTGTTATTTATTCATTAGAAACCCCGCAGCACCCGAAGGCCTTACATAATATTAATTGAGGATTTACATCAATAAATAAAGTACATCTTCGTTCGCACACATAATAAACTTTGCCCACACATAAACAGCTAAAATACATCTTCGTTCAAGTTACAGCATGAGATTACAGCAGTGAATAAAAAAATTCACAACTTTGCTGCAAAGAAGAAGCAATAAATGTGATGGAAACAAATGGGAAGATCACACGAAAAATGGCAAGCAGATTTTAATGTGCCCCGCGTTTCTCACGCACAAATGACGCACAAAACGTACTCACAGGTACAGATGAACGCGAATACACGTCTCAGTTTTCACTTCGATGTGTCTGAAAAGTGCGTCCTTTTCACAAACGGAGACTGTGCAATGTGTACAATGACCTTTGTGCTTGCAGTAACTACAACAAAATCGTTTCAGTGAAAGCCCAAGGGGTACGATTGTCCCCAAAGCGAGATAAGCGTGCGCACACATGAGCGTCCCCTCTCTGCAGGGCAACGTACGCGTGGGAGATGAGAGCCCACGCTGTTGCATCGTGACGATCTGGCGACGCGCGCTCATTGCACCATCTCGCTGGTAATGCTGAAAACACAATAGGTTCTCCCGAGATTAGCGTCGCTAGCGGTAAGTGGTAGGTAAAAATAGCTTGCCATTTAAGCATTGAAGAAGGTGCTTTTTCGTGTCTCAGTGGTTAACACCTCGCGCTTCCAATTCAGAGGTTGGACATTTCATCCCGCCCGCCAAAGTTTTTTTTCTGGATTATTTTCCTTTCTTGCGTTTTCATATATATAGATACGTATACATATATGGTAAATGACAGCGACGCTGACGCCGGCAGCAAAACCCAGCCAAGAGTGACCATGTAATTGCTATCGCAATATTACATCTTCGTTCTCACTATGCACTTGCTTTTCAGTTAGCTTACTAAGCTGTTTAATAGTTCTAGGAAAAAATGCATTGGTATACAGTTTGGTTTTAGCTGGGTGTTCTAGGATTTTGCAACTATGATCGAAACTTTTTGGTTTGTTCGAGAGCAGCAGTGAAGGTTACTTTGGTGGGGTCCCACGCGACACAACTGTACTGCAAGATAGATCTGGTACAAGTAGTGTATGCCATACGTTTTAAATTCACATGCGAACATGCCAGGTTTGTTAGAATTAAACTTAAAGCCTCACTAGCTTTGACTATGAGTGTCAACCTGAGGCCTCCATGAACATTCACATAATAGTAGAACACCTAGGTACTTATCTGTACTATCTTGTTTGAACTGTACATTGTTCAGGTGGTACCAAGACTGGAATGGTTTTATTCTCTTAGTTAGTACATTAGTTCGCTATGTGACCTAGATGGGTTTGTAAAATATGACTATCAGATTCAGTCGTGATTTCGTTGTATATATAATACAGCCGTCATCAAATAACTTTATGAATGATTTAATGTGTTCAACTATGTTGTTTATGTAGATTAAAAACAATAAGGGTCCTAGAACCCTACCTTGCAGATTGCGCGAAGTCACTGCTATTGACGAAGACTTGACATTATTTAAGACGATGGACTGGGTTCTACTATTCAATTAATTTTGTATCCATGTATGAAAATTTTTATTTAGATAATGCAGCGAGCTTTACACCCAAGCGCTTATAGGACACTGTGTCAAATGCTTTTTGGAATCTCTAAAAACCGTGTCTACTAGTTGAGTGTTACAGGATTAACGTTTTCGCGAAACCATTCTGGGAGGGAGTAAAAAGAGTGAATAGGAATTTAAATAACTTGGTATGTAAAATGTGTTCAAATATTTCGCAACATACCGATGTTAATGAAGTTGACCTGTAAATTTTTCTGAGTTTTTATCTCCAGATTTGAAAACTGGTGTAACGTTAGCTGTCTTCTAATCTTAGGAAGTAAGACCAGTTGCAAGGGACAAATTATAGATAATAGTTAAATATGGAGCAATAGTTTCATGAAACTCTTTGAGGACTGCTGGGAATAGTCCATCAGGCCAAATAGTTTTTGTTGCATCTAGGTAGACATACTTGTGTATAGTTTACGGACTAACTAAAGTGAGGTAACCTGCAGTTTGCACCTTGTTTTTGAGCGAATAGTTATGTTAGCTCTTGTAAGAATTTTTGAAACCTAAAATTCTTCAACTTAGGCCTTAAATATGCATATTTTATATTTCGAATTCTTTATATATTGAACTATTTCACGATCCCCTTCGAGTTCGATATATCTGGGATCGACTGTATTAATATTATTATTATTATTATCATTATTATTATGGTTCGTTTCCACCAATACACAGCTGATGGAAGGGGTGAAAATAAAAGCGACTATCCGCTTGACTAAGTTCTCACCCTCCAATGTACATAAGGCAGTGGCGGTGGCAGCAAGAGAACACCACAGCCAACAAAAAAGCACAACATTAGCAAAATTAGGAATCATAAATCTTTCAAACTCACTGTAGACGGTTCTGCTGGCAAAAAACCATACACACACAGTGCTATAAACATATATAGAAATGTAAATCAAGTCGCAACAAGTTAATCACAAATACAATAAACATATGATTTACGTGCAGCAATGATTGCATTTTCATCCCTTTGGTTTTTATTTATTGTTTTTCCTAATTGTTAGCTACAAACTTTGAAGATAGGGTCTTAATTGTCAGGAGCATTAATAAAATATGGGTGAAGTTGAAAAAGGGTGATATCTTTTATGTTAACACCTGATGAATATAATCTGTTTAATTGTAACAATAGCTGATAATTTTTGTTGTCCATAGCTCTTGTAGGAGGAAGCTTCCAAGGTGGTTGATAACGGTGGGGGTATTTTGGTTGTTCACGTTTCATAGAGGCGATATCTGGGTTAGTAGAGAAACATTTTTTTTTTGTTCGATCTTATAGGGGCTTAAAAGCCTGCAAATGTATAGGTTGTAAATATTGATGATTTCATGTTCACTGAACAAGTGATCTGCTGCATGTCTGTGAGGAAGGTTACAAATTTGGCATAGGATTCTATTATGAAGAGATTAGATTTTTCGTAGATTAGTTTTAGTCGTTGTCACCCACACTAGCCTGCAGTAGTTGAAAGGAATAAAGCATGGTATATAGCAAGCTTTGCCTTCAAAGGTAGAACAGATTGATGTCTCCAAAGTATAGCAATTTCTCTCAATGCTTTTATTAAAATGCTATGGATATGATCATTCCATTACGAAAGCTGTGCGAAATAAACTCCTAGTGATTTCATTAACCTGATTATTTTAAACTGGTTGGAATTTATAGCACAAATGTACTAAAGTATCACATTTTTTTTACGGAATTAAAAATTACAGCTTTAGTTTTAGTATTTGCATTACCTGACAGTGCATTTTCCTTTGTCCAAAGTTCTAGCTTACCTAAAGTATTATTACTGTGGGAAGATAACTCAGTGTGTGTGTATCAGCTTACAGAAGGATCATGGTGTAATCCACATAAATATTAAATCTGTATTGATCATCACTGTTCGCAGTATCATTAATATAAATGTTAAAGAGAAGAGGCCCAAGTGTACTGCCGTGTGGCACACCGGTTGTAATATGTGTGTTGGACTGAAAACTGCTGATTTTAACGTATTGCTTCCAACGAGATAAATAGCATGTTATTAAATCCAAAACATGCCGTCTAATACCACATCAATCCAATTTTTTAACTAATATTCTGTGTACTATGCAATGAAACGCTCTGGTAGAACCACCAAAAATGCCTAAAATTAACTTATTTATTTCTACTTCATCAAGAATATATTATTTTTTATGAATCAAAGCAATTTCTGTAGAACAGTTTTTTCTAAATTCCATACTGAGAATCAGTAATTATTGTTGCATTGTAAAAACTTCTCCATGCATTTCAGCATAATTTTTTCCAAACATTTAAAAAAACAGGAAAGATACTAATTAGCCTATAATTGTCAAAGCCATTTCTGTATCTCTTTTTGTAATGCACGATTGCTTTGCTATTTGCATAGCCGAAGGAAATGTTGCGGTTTGCAGGCACAAATTAAAGATACAGCGATGGAAGCGACATTTTGCCTTTTGGAGCAGATTCTGGAGCAGAAAAAAATGGTGCTTTGAAGCAGGCTGAAGTGTTTTCAGAGCAGAAAAAATGCTATAGCTTAGGGTTGCTATTAGTGTTTTCGAAGCAGATGCATGCTCGTAATGACTCCTGAAGCCTAAAACATCACTTAAGCATCTGATGAATATTTATATTTAATATTAAACATGCCGCATACTAGTATGCAGCTAGTATACAAGCAGTATAGTTGGCGTAAATCCTGGACAGGGGGTTAGGGGGGTTGTTATGCCAGCGAGTCCTCGTCAAACGACCGTGCCTCTGAAAAAGGCAATCTGGGTCAAGGCCAGCCCGCCGTCTGCCCGACGCGAACATATCAACGGCGTGAACACGCGCGGCGCCTCTCTCGCCCACGTGCATTGAGTCATCGGCGCACGTGACAGCGAGCCGGCGTTCTCGTGCCTGGTGGTCTGACGCATGGCGCGGCGACCCCCCATTGGCGGAATCTGCTCGGACGACCCGCGGCGCTTCTGATTGGACATTTTGGTTGGACCCGGTGTAAATAAAAGAAGCCCTGCGGCGCGTCGCGATCGGCGGTCCTATGTGAGAGGCGTCCCCGTGTCGGAGTGCCGACATGTGTGTGAGTCAGCGGTTTTAGGCGAAAGGCTGACCTATGTGTTAGAGAGAGGAGCTCGGCTCTTCGAGTCTCTGCCGGCCCCAGTGCCGAAATTGTAACGCCTCTGTATATATGCTGTACATAAACCTTGTTTAACTCACCGTCGTCTCGTCCGCTCG